AATATTCCGATGTGTGCAGCGCATTTTACGGAGGACTGTTTCCTGATCCTGGGAGAGTAGACTACAATGCCAGGTGTTCTGACTCAAAGACTGTAAGTACGTTTTCATATTTAAAGAATTTGCCACTGATGATTCAAATGCGAGTTTTGAGCAGAGTAGAGTAGGGCTTGTTGTTTGTCGTTTCTCCGATCACAAATGCAGACATGGTTTTACGGCAATGCGTAAAAAGACAGTATAAGTCATTATAATCCGTAATTATGTCCCCACTGAATGCAACAAATGCCTCTTTATAATGGGTTTTAATGTTTTTGTCTCGTCCCTCCGGCCGGACACGGCAGCATCACAGTATGTGAGGGGCGTAACATTTCCGTCTCAAGCTTGAGGTATTCAGTCAATCACAACACACTGGATAGCTGGCCAATCACAGCACACCTCGCTTTTCAGACCGATGAGCTTTGTAAAAATCGATGCGTTTCAGAAAGGCGGGGCATAGAGGAGAAACAATAATGTACAGTATGTGGAAAATAATGTGTTTTTTGAACCTTAAACCGCATAAACACATTTCATTACACCAAATACACAAAATAATGTTATTTTTAGCAACATCATATGACCCCTTTAAAATTGCCATAATCTCTACTGCATATACCCCTCATTTATTAGATGTTCTTTTACTAATTTCTATTTCTTTTCCTGGAATTGCCACCCCAAACCCTGTTTCTTCTGTCTCTGGATTTTTAGCACCGTCTGTATAAATCTGTATACATTCACTATAGTTTCCTCCTACTCGATTATTAAATATGCTTTTCAAATTAATTCCTTCCTTTGCTTTTCTTTTCTGATCAAGCACAATGCCCTGGACTACCCTCAGCCCTGCACATTTTGTATGTCTCCCTCATCTATCACACCTGATTCAACTCATCAGCTCATTAGTGGAGACTGCAAGACCTGAAGTGGGTGTGTCAGATAAAGGGACAGGCTACAAAATGTGCAGTGCTGGGGAACTCCATGGACAGGTTTGAAAACCACTGTAGTAGACATTCCACATTCCTAGTCCAGGAGAGTCACTTTCCTACAGAGTTTAGTTTGCTCTCTAATTAAACGCATGTGAATCAGCTGTGTCCGAAACCGCTCCCTATCCACTATATAGTGCACTATATCGGGTGTCAGCCATTTTGTAGTGCTGTCCAAATTCTGAGTGAACGACTTCATTCCCTACATTCGTCCACTACTTTTTACCCACAATGCATTGGTTTCGAGTGTACAACCGATGTACACTTGCTGAAGCACTATTTCCCACAATCCAATGCGGAGAACCGGTGAGCTGGAAGAGAGAGCGGGAGCGAGCGAGTTTGAATTAGAGATGCCGTTTACATCTTTATTATTTCTGCTTTAACGTTTATTTCATACATTATTTATATTAAAATATGTTATGTAGGCAATAACTCAGTTTAATATTTTACTAATTTACTGAGGTGGCATCGTTGTTAACTTACAAAAATTATGATAATTTGGTGGATAATTTAAAAATGTTCATTAGTCACAGTAGGTAGCGTATTATTCATTCTGATGTAAAATTAACGGTCGCCTGAGGGCACTCTATGACCATTATCTTATCTGAGCTCAAAACGCTGCTCGTGAAGATACTAAAAATAATAAATGCATAAAATTATGAACGTGTTAATGTGTGTTTATTTTTGTAAAATTATGAACATGTGTTAATGTGTGTTTATTTTTGTTCTCAGTATTTTAATAGTATTTAATGATTATGAACATAAAAGCATTACAAAACAAATTAATAATATACCATCGATGAAACCACAAAGCCGACGCGGAGGTATGTATAATTACAATATAAAGTCATTTTGAGTGTTATTGCTATTAAGATTATTCTCTAAAATAAGGTACATGTAATATAAAAGCACATACTGTATGTGACGATGTTTTTACAACAGCAAAACAACAGTTTACTTATAACAGCCAGGTGTGGCTTTACAGGAACAAGAATGAGAAACCTGGTTTACAGATTTTCAGACACACCCATTTTACACACGTCACTCAAACAGAGGAATCACCTGAGTTCAGGGAAAGAGAAACTG